CTTTTCACAATTCAACAAAGTTGGCTACCAAACCAAAGAAATTCAACAAGGTTGGCTACCAAAACAAACTAATTCAACAAGGTTGGCTACAAAACCAAAGAAACTTTTATTAGGCACATGCCTAATACTTCTTCAATGAAATGGACATCATCAAAATGAGCAAGTCTACTAGTGTGAGTTTGATCCCCCTAACTTATTTTAGTGTAGCTGATCAAGGAGCTGTATTACTTAAAGATTATCTAAGCTTAAGCTTTTAACATTAAGATGCATGGCATGCAAGTTCCAGGCAGATACAGGAAACCAAGCCAAGCATATATCAAATATACCATGATGAGAGTCAATATTCAGGGAGTTGGAGACAAAGAGATGACATGGCTCTGATAGAGAAGGGTTCACTAGTTAGAAACACGATAGACCGAGCTCTTATTTTTCGAGAAATGCTTTTCCCATACCAAACATATCTGGGCTACTGGGCTAGTAGTAACCGAGACCTACCTTCTCACCTAGACTTTTGATAGATTCAATCATCAAATGCGTCTGCAAAAAACAAATTTGTTAAATCTCCTTGCAAGCATAAACAAATGTCAAAATATACTTAAAAAGAATATGCAAATACTTCTAAAACTACGAAGTAGTCAAAATAAATGGAAGTACAAAGAATAGCTTGTGAAAACTATGAAAAATTTTCAGGTCCCTTTCTTTTGGACAAGAAAATAAATCAAGACAAACTTAAAGACCACAACCCTGTTTAAAATAACAAGAGGTATAAAGAATGAGAACACAACTGAAGTACACTAGCTACGGGGTGTAACGTCTTAAAAACACGATGTACAGATCAACACCAGAGTTCTAAAAAAATGTAAATTTAACTAGGAAAATAAAAAAGTAGAGAGGAACTTGGTGTGACCTTGCTAGATCTGGCTTGCATTAGAGCAGTTTGCAGTTGGTTTTCCAATTGGACAAGGTCAGTCACACTGAGATAATCAACAACAGGTTCCTCGAGTTGCCTTTCAAATTGAAACAGATGATCAGTAGTATTCGTTTCAAGAAATGAAATAGGGGCATGAGGTCAGTACCTTTCTACCGTTTGTAACAGTTCTCGCACTGTCATGAAGCTTGCATATTTAGAGTGCTATTTCCACCTCACAAGGACAGTAAACTTTCAGTAATCAGAACTGTAAATATTGATCACTAGTCTAAATGAATTGATAGTTAGTTACTCCATATAAGAATGAACTAAAAAATACTGTCAGAGGTTGTCCTTATCAAAAGAAAAATGCTGTCAGGTTTTTTGGTTTCAACAAAATACTAACCATGTCTAAGCACAAGACACTTGTTAGGCACCATGATAACAAGTTACCATCATTAATCACAACATACTAGGTTGAACCTTCAAGTCAGAGGGCACACAAATATCCCGGATAGTGTCTTTAGACCTATTCAGGATACAGGAAGTTACATGGATTATACAGTGATTTTTTTTGGGTGTATTAACTATGCACCTATGGGGTTGTTTGATATTATTCAGGGTACAGTACATAGGTTATTACTAGTTCACAGGCCGCAAACATATTTCAGGTATCCAGAGAGAACTCTAAGTCATCAGAATAAACTGGATTGCCAAGTCAACTACACATATACCTCTGTGTCCAAAACTTCTGCAGAGCTCTCTTTTTCTGCTTCCACATGGCTGTGGTATCGTTGAACGATCTCTGTGAGACTGAAACATACAAAAGTGTGAGATGCGATTACTAATGTGTAAGTACACAAAATTGTAGGATACAATTATTGAGTGATAAATTAATTATCCCTCAGGTTATTTGATGTTTAAGCTGTTAAGTTTACATGTTCTAAACTATGAAAGAAGCTGAGAATTGCATAATTACAGGAAAATAATAAAC